ATCGACACTTCCTTGCAAGAGTCCACATAAAAAACGGCCACACTCCGGACCAAGAGCACGTCATGCCCGGAAAAAGAAGGCCCGGATGCGAAGCTGCAGTAGCAGATGCTATGATATTCACATGTCTAGCTTGTCGGATCTTTACTCGCATTCCGCGGAAGGTGGCTGCATTGTCACCAGACATCGTGCACCATACACGTCCCCCCTGGAGCCTATCTTGTCATTGCGTGACAAGACGACGTCCCCAACGGGGTTTAGTTAAGTGGCAGGCCTCAGGAGGGATTCAGTATGAGCCATTTCAAGGCCATGAAAGGTACTGTTTGCGTTCAAGCTAGTGTGGTTCTTTCCCCCTTTCCTACGCCGTGTCGGACGCTCAAGGGCATGTACGAGACCAGCCATGAACACCGCAGGTATTTGCAGTCGTTTTCTTCATCTATTTTTTCTAAAAGAGGGGCGAGAGTAGAAAAATGATCTATATATCTCTCTTCATTTCCTAATCATATCGTGGTTCAAACGAGGCCGCAACTCGCTCGTTCCGCGCTCTCTACGCCGTGGTCAAGAGCTTGTGCGGGCTTAAATCTGCTCGAGCGGACACCATCGAACATAACCGGTGCCTCCCGATGTGACATGCAAGCTGAACGTCTCGTATTCCCGATTGTGGACATTCTGGGGAGAAGGACTATCTGCGCCACATCGTGTGCATGGGGTGTTGGAGTGTGAGGAACGGTGGATGGCAAGCATCCCTTGTACCTTCTCCAGGCAGGTAGGTCAAGTGACATTGCACACAAGACGGTACTTCCAGTTGGAGGAGGCGGAAAAGCCACGTTTCACATGAAACTCAGAGCAGCCAGCTTCTGTTCCTTGTGTGCTACATCCACCCCCCTCAAAGGATGCTGCGGGCATTGAGCAGTTGCCTGACGCATGCCGTAGAGAACCATACTGTCTAACGATTCATGTGTTTGCCTAGCTTACCGAGGAAATATATAGGCTTGCCTTCCGTCAGCCTTAGTATTCTCCAGACGGGTAGGGCTAACCAGGCTATAGCTGCATGGGTAGATGAGGTCCACTCACTATTCGAAGCACACGCAAGTGAGGTTAGGTGTCCTCGCATAGTTACAATTTTCAACCCTCGCCCAGAATGAGACGGCAATACTCAAATGCGCGACAAAACGCGGAACGATGATTTGTTTTGGCCAAGTCAGGATAGACGAGGCGTGGGGCGCCGATTCAGGGAAAACATGTCTGGAGTAATTTGGTGTCTTTACAGTTTGAATCTTGAAAGCCTCAACGACCGCCCCCGAGCACCGTCCTCCCAAAGGGCAGCCGAGTCCGAGCAACCTCGCCTGCCTGCCAGCTCAACAATTCCGCGATGTTCCGAACAACGAATTTCATTCGGCCCTTTGCACGGGCCGCATAGTTCTCGATGAGAGCTCTATAGGGTTCTTGTTGCAGTACGAGGCATTGGCTTTCTCAAAAGCTTCTGAAGATCACACAAATACAGAAGAAAAAAGAATACCCGAACGAGTGTCAAAATCTCTTCATAATTTGTGGGCAGTTCTGTATGTTTTCTGCTTTCATCATATGGGAAATTCGTTTTCAAGAGGGGTGATACCAGCACAGGATCCAAAGCAGAATAACATCATTAATCACATGAACTGGAGCATCTACACTCAAAGCCCTTGCCCATGTCTGTCCCCCAAGCCTAAGAACGACGTGCAACCAAAATCACATGGACAATTCACCGAAACCAGTTGAGCGGTTTAGACACCAAGGAGCTGGGAACAGCGCCCGACACACTGCCCTGCCACTGCACGACAGAGTTGTCGGTCGCCCTTCACTGCCAAGGAGAACTCTCGACGCCACAAAGGATGCAAAAACAAACCCAGAAGGAGACCGCTAAGCAAAAAGTTGGCATCCCAAACTCCCAGATACGACCCCGACTCCGAGCAAAGCGCCGGTCTTCCACCCCCGACCACACGCGTCCGCGTGTTCCTCTCCTCCGTCTTGCCAAACCCACGATGCATCCCGATTCCCGACCCATTCGACAGCCTCACTTTTCGTGCAGGCAACGACCGAGAACAGAGGCCGACCATCTAACGCATGCGGAGACCCACTCTCCCAGCTTCGTAACCCTGTCTGTCTCGTCTTGCTTCGCCAGCGCCCCGTCCTCTGTCCCCAACAATGCTCGTCAGGAAAACGAATCCCCTGAACCCTATTCGACATGACATCTTGTTCCAACAGTAGATTCACTCTACGCCAAAGGAATCGCAGCCCACCTCGTCGACCGTGCCGTGCAAGCCATGACAACACAGTTACCGAAGGGCATGATCGCCAGCGCCCTCGGAAAAAAACAAAGGGGGGAAGGGGGTCGAAGCTGTCTGCGCCGAGTCTTGGTGATCGGAAAAGTTCCAAGACGCCGACTGAGCCCTCCGCTGCTGGCATGTCTCACGACCAAAATTCGGTTGCCCTAGAGTTTGATGATGAGTCCTATTGTCCTGTCCCTCCCCAGTGTCTCCCTTCGCCCTCCCCTTATCTCCCGTAAAAGTCAGGTGTTCTGGGTTCCCATCAGCAAGGTGATGACAGTCAGGAACGACATGCACAAGTAAAGCCTTACCCATGTAACAACTACACGTG